ACAAAATGCCATAATTTTTGGGGGAACTGGCCTACACCAAATTTCTTTTGACGGAAAGGGTTGGTGAGTAGAAAGTTGAGAGATGGACTTGAAGAAAGAAGCACAAGTGAAGGTTCCATTGGGTCTAGGAGGCATTTTTTTATTTTTTTTAGCATTCTTTTTTGTATTTTTGCACCTTGCGCCTCAAGCGCAAATTGACCCTTGCGCCTTTTTTGCGCCTTGCGCTTTTAAAACACTGCTCCCATTGAGATACATGAAAATAACCAATTCCTTCACACCCATTGCCTCCAGAACCTCCTCCAATAACCCCCATTCAACATGATCAGTTTTGTACACCAGGCCTGAACTTCCTTCTATTATTCTTGAATCAATTCATTCACTTGACACTAAAACCCCATCTAAAACAGGTCAACCTTCCACAAAAGCCATCTGAGTATATTCTATAATATCCTCTTTAACCTTTTTGACAAAACTTTAGCCATGATCTTATATGGACTAGATATAAGACCTATTGGCCAAGACTATTTCATCAACACAGCCCTCTCTTGTCTGATTAGTGTTATAAAAGTGGAATTATATCTAACCTCCATGTATATATATATATATATAACCTCCTGAAATACTTTCTATCGCGTCCTCTTTAATTGAGCTCCAGAAGGACTTAAAACATCATATTAAAAACATCTGGCCCCAAAGATTTCTCCATTCATACTATTCACTGCCTTCCAAACTTCCTCTACTTCAACTTTTCCTTCCAACCATTCCATTTTTCTGTTTCTAGTCCTTTTAAGAGATAAATCAACCAAGCAAGGTTCTAAATATCGAAATAGGCTGATACACTGGATGGAGCGTATCAGTTTGTATCATTGGGTGCTTTTATTTATTTATTTTTTTTAGTTTTTTTTCAAACCTGTTCAAGTCGGTGTAAGGCCTGTCTACCCCCTGAAACAGGTCAACCCCTGAAACCAAGCTTAAAGTGGTGTATCGGTGGATCACCAATACAATATGTATTGGCTGATACAGGCCGGTATGTCACAAAATTTCGATCCTTGCACCCAAGAAGCATATTCTTCTCAGTAAGAAGAATACAAGCAAAAGCCTCAGAAGATTTGCAGAGTATTTGGTTGTTTGAGAACATTGGTTGCTGTAGTCTTTTCTGATTTTAGGTGGTCAGGCTTTTGACAAAAATTAGAGTTTTATCATGGGTGCTTGAACCATAAAGCTCAAACACTTCTTGTATACTTTCCTTTCAGCTATTTTTCTTTTTCAATGAATTTGTTTTCTTATTTACTATTCAAAAAAAAAATTGTAAACCTCCAAGATTGTCCTTGTTGGTTAAGAAACATGGATAAGCCATGGTGCCACATGTAATGGCTCAAAGGTCCACAGCACTGTCTCCAGGCTTACTTGAATTTATATGAGGGAAGAACCAAACTGCCCTATATTCTTTCATGAAATTTTGGGATTAAACTTGAAAGGGATGATCTTTCAATTGATACACTTAAAGGAATTCCTAACCTATTTCTAGACTTTAGTAACTATGTATACTTCTAAAAACCTTTCAGTGAAATCTAATAAGGATTTTCTGATTGGTGCTTATTTCTATGAGCCAGTTCTCTCCCCAACATAGATTTTCCAAAGTACTAAGTTCAAACAAGGTAGTAAATGGATTCAAGTAAAGAGGTGGACTAGTAGTAATTAAGTAATATATGAAAATAAGAGGTCATGGGTTCAAGTCTTGTAAAACGAGTTTTATTATCAAAAAACAAAAGAGGTAGTAAATGGATGGATCATGCAGGAACAAGTTATACATGCCCGAGTAGGCGTATATGAATGAATATACAAATACAACCACAAAATTTTAGCATATAAATATAAATCTAATGAAACTAATATACTTAATTTACAATTAAGACTTCAATATAAAAATTATAAACATATAGTTGGTATGTCCATAGTCATTTTAGTACCTTCCATAAAGGAGGGTTAAACATTGGGTCTAAATATTATTTCTTTACTTCTTCAATGTCTTTCAAACATTAACATCATTCAGATTTCAGTATGGATCCCAATAATAAACATGATAAACTCCCTTCAAAAAATACAAAAAAAGTGGGACCATGGCAACCTTTTTCGTTATTATAACATACAAAATGTGTTCTTCAGTTCATTTTGTGTTTCAAGTAGCCAAGTGTCACAGTGTCAAATGTAGCATGATCTTATCAAAATCACAGTTTCAGTTCATTTGGCATAAGTCCCAGTTCCACTTTGAGACCAACTGGAAAAAAAAGGGCCTTACAAGCTGTTTGATAATGGCTAAAGTTGCTGAACTAATGACTTACAATTTTGTCTTTTAGTAGATAAAATAATTAAATAATAAAACATTCAATAGTACCAGCTTTGCCATTAAGGAGATCACGACCTCCTTAATAACTTATTCACTGAAAGGCAACCATAAGTCATTCAGTTCATCCACTTCAGCTGTTATCAAAAGATTCCTATACACTGTAGAAATCAGTTTATAAGCTTCTTCAATTCAATAACACCTATGAATAGAAGCGTATCAATCATGAGTCCAGGAATCACAATTCTGTGTGATAATAATAAGAGCAAAGATTGGCCACAATAATCCAACAACAGAAGTTGCCTAAAGCCATGAAAAAAAATTGGAAAGAATAAGAAAAATTTAAGTGTATAGGATGCCTAAAATCGCATTTGAATTATCTAAAGTTTCATGATTTCAAGAAGCAAAATATACATGCAAGCTATATGCTATACCTTCTAAATTTTTAAGTGCAAGATTATGTATCTTTAATTTTAAGATACTTCCAACAAAATAAGTGATGGTCTTAATGCCTATAAGATAATGATACAAAAGAAGATTCTAAGGTTATAACCAGAAAGGTTACAAAATAACGGATATGTGTGTGTATAGATAGATAGATAGACAGATACATGCACACACACACACACACACACTACACAACCAAATAGAGGCAAGAGACATTTACGGATCAAGCATCCAATAGCTTCGTCTCTGAAAATTTGGATTCTGCTCTCCATGTGCATAATAACAATTTAAAGCTTCAACATTTCCAACCTAGCCACATAGAAACATGTGAGAAAAAAGAGCCATACACAATACAAAAGATACCAAATAAAAAGAGATCTTCTGGACCTAGACAAAACCTTAAGTGCATTTGCTAAACCAGTTTCAGAAAAATACAATACAATATTTCTTTCAGAAAAGGTAAGGTATTATATTTCATTCCACTACCATCCAGCATTTACAAGTATCCTCATGTACAGATATTTTTCAACAACACAATTAAATACACTTAAATGTACATGAAAATTGCTGGGAAAAAAAACAGATACATTCACAGACAGATATCTGTAAATTATATTCTTTTATTGTTTGCTTGCTTTTAGTAGTACTAGTTGCATTATACATGCATTTGCACATGAAAGAGAGAGAGAATGGTCATCTTGGCATGAAGCCAAGGCAAGTATCAGCATTGTATAGTAAAGACTGTTATCATTATTTTTGGGATAAGTTATTGGCCATTTTTTGTATTAAAACTATATATTGAGAATTCCATATACAAGGGAAAATTACTGCACAACTAATACGAATATGGTTATGCATCAAAATACATGTATCATACTGGATAAGCATGAGAAAATAGGATTTAGGGACTCGTTGGATATATATAAAGGGATAATTATTGAAAAATAAAACAAACTAAATGTGCAGGCATAAATGAATGCAAACAAAAACTAAACAACAAAGATAATTTAATAATAACATTATCAAGTCTTATGTTTTCATAATTGATGTCCAAGTTTATCTTAAAAGCTTGTATTTCTTTAGTCAAAAACAATTGATGATTATCAAGTCATATTAACCATTCATTTATGAGCAGTAATTTTTCAAGATTATGAGCAATCTCCAACACCAAATAATTGCTGACTATCAAATCAGGCTATTGAGGTTTTTCTTACTACAACATGAAGAAAAAGGCTTTTCAAAGTAACAATGCAAATAAATATAACTATGTATTATGTAAATTTCTTTAACAAACCTTAAGCCTTTCATGTGCTTCTCCAACAGTTCTGCCATCCTTCTTTTTTCGCCAAACATGACCATCTCTACGAAAAAACCGAAGGACCCTCCTGTTGAAAAGGAACAAAGACCCACCTATTTGGAAAATCAGTTAGTTAGGATGTTGTAGCATTTTTGTATAGTAAAGATAAAATTTATTGAAAGAAAAAAAAACAAACCACAGTGAAAGCACACATAAGCACCCCTCTATTGGCACTCCAAACAGATCACCCCAAAACCAGAATAAACCTCATACAATCCCCCCTCCATCCCTGCTAAAATAATCCCAAACCAGCAGCACCACATCATTTGGAATTTATTCCTCTTCCAATGGCATCATCTCACTCCAGATATGGCCTATCATCAGCAACTTGATCAACCTCTTGGAAGCACCCATTGAAGATTCTAAAATAATTACAACAGACACACTATCAAAGCTTTCAAGCAGGAAAATACTTTGGTTACATGAATTAAAAGGTAATCTTTTGATCTGTTTGATCTTTTTGGTAAAACAAGACTTGTCTCTTCTCCTAGGCTCTTTGATTTCAAAATGATTGTTATATATTTGCTTTTGTTCTTCAAAACTTTCACCTTGAAATCCTCTGCTGTCACACCCCTGAAGAGGTTATACAGTATTTGATATTATTAATATCTTCATCTGGTATTTAGACATTTTTCCAACTTTAGTACTTTACCCCTAATTCTTTTATCTTTTAATGCCCTTTTCTGTTCAAATGTTTTATCCTGCTTTGTCTTTTTCTTATAAAAGTGAGCCCCACATACTATGTCATCAATCAGCGCATGAGAATGCCTTGCCACTTCAGATTTTTCTTCTTCATTCAAATACCCTTCTTTTTTGATGAATATTCAAATACCCTTCTTTTGCTTACCTTTAATATTCAAATAACTACCTTCTACCACATGTCCCACATTATTCTCGTCAGCCCAACTCCCGCCTTTCCCTAAAATTACATTTCTACCCCTCTTTGAAGCCAACTCATCATCTTCCTCTTTGCACCGACTGTTCATGTTCCCTTTAGAGCCTGTAACTCCCTGATGCTACACAATCTGGGCACTCCTAGCTGGCTGAGAGTTGGCTCCTAGCTGTGATGGACGGCACCTGAGAGGAAGAAGAAGGTGAAGGGTTCCCGGGGAGATCTCCCGGAGGGAACACTCCGATGGCCAAGTTAGAACTCTAAGGAAAACTCAAAGAAGATGCAGAGAGTTAAGAGTGTTGAAAGTGCTAGCTTCAATCCCTTTGCTTCGTGAGGGTTGGGGTTCTTTTATATCGGAGCTCGGCCATATCTGGCATAACTGCCACTGCCCTAGCCGTTACTGCCAGGGCAGGTGTGGCAGGTGCAGGTTGCTGCCACAAACTGTTATTGCAAGGTACGGAATCGACAGACGCGCCATACTTTTCAAAGACAGCAAACAGAATGTTGCCCGGCAAGCAAAACGCCGCCTGGCAAGGGATCCGAGCCTTGCCACCGGATCCAGTAGGTACGGAGGTCAGGCAGGCAAGGATGCCAGGCAGATCTCCTTGTATCCTGCCGAGCTATTGTACGCCGAACCACTGGGGGCAGGTTTACCTTGCACCGAGGTACGCCGAGGTGCCCGCACTGGAGGCGGGCCTTATGCAAGTTCGAACAGGAGTCTCAACGGTGCTGCCCCGAGGTGTTTCTTCCTCGGGACACTTAGCCAAAAACTGGGGTGCTCCCTAAGGGAGAGCTCGGGGCCCCTTAGGAGGAGCTCGGGTCTCAAGAGGAGTTCGGGATCTCCCATACTTGGCGGGAGTCAAGGCTGGCCGGGCGCTAGTCCCCGACGAGTCGCTTAACTCGCGAGTGGCCAACGTTGGACTCGGCGGGTCCTTCCCGCCGAGTTACGGTTGAGCTATTAGGCTGAGCTGTTTGTCGAGCCAGGTCACGCACACGTGTCCCTGTGCTATGAGGTCGGGCCAAATCACCCTCCATCAATTGCCCCCCACTCCCCGTGCTGGCTGGGGGTGCTGACCCAGCACGGGGAGTTCACAGTGCGTCGGGTGTATTTGGCTTAGCACTCATGCCACCCTATCAGGCAACCCAAGCGCCAGACCGATCTAGCGCTCAGTTCACTCGGAAGGAAAAAACCCGGGCTGCATACAACTCACGTGCGGACATCACGCGATCTAGACTTCGCGGACGCCAAAAAATGCGCTAAACTGATTTCACCTCGAGAGCCTCGCAGCAAGTTTTCTTAAGAACCGTCAGATTGCTTTGATCTTGACCGTTGGTGCCCGAGCCTAGCGGCTATAAATAGCGGGGGACCCTGGTTATTTTCTTTCGCCACTAAGTATCCTTCGTCTATCTTGAGCTCGGGTCTTCTAACTCGTCCAGTTCTAGTTCGGTTGCGTTTTTCCTTGGTGAGTCCCCAAGCCTCCCTTTCTCCTTTTTCAGTTTATTTCATTCAATGTCTAGCGGGGATAGTCTCTTAGACGAGCCCGAGGTGGGTACCTCGGGTCAGGGTGACCCGCTGTTGCCCAGCCTTCCCACGATGCACGGGTGACCTCGAGTAGGCTGACGTCCACCTCCCGCCGAGGTCGGGTGCCAGATCAGTTTGGTCCATCCACTATGACGATAGAGAGGCTTCAACACCTCATCCAGCATTTCAACCTACCTCAGGAATACTCATATAGTCTTCCTACCGGCAACTTCTCTTGGGAGCACAGTCCGGATGAGATCGTGATCTTTAGGGAGCAACTCGTCGGCGGGCTTCGTCTCCCTCTTCACCCCTTATCCCCGAGGTGTTGGGACGTTTTAACGTCACGCTGGACCAGCTCCACCCAAACGCTATTCGAAACATGGTCGGGACCATCTCCCTTTGTTTCGAGTACAACCTTCCCTTAGATATAGATATCCTTTGTTCTATTTTGTTAATAAAGAAGAGCGCTTCGGGCGTTCCCCGAGCACAGGCGGACTTACTATCTGTCCCCTCGCCCGATCTTCAAATTTTTACATAAACTCCCAAGCAAGGTCCCGGCCTGGAAGTGAGACTACTTTGTAGTCCAGAGCAGCACGGGGTGGCCCTTCCTTACTAGCTGGAGGATGGCTACTCAAGACCCCGGCATTATTCTCGACCGGAAGACGAGGGAAACACTCCACTCATGGGCTCAGGTCGGCTTCGATCACAAAGATTACATTGCCGAAGAGAAGCTCATTCAAGCTGGTTTGACCCCGGGTAGGTCTATTTTTACCTTAGCGTCTCACTTAATTAGCTAAGTTTTTTCAAGCTTACTAACACCGAGCTCTATTGCAGGTCCCATGAAGGAAGAAAGGATTACCGGTCAGAGGCTCCTTCGCCAAATGAAGAAGAGGAAGAAGTGAACTGCCAAGAAGGCGTGCGTAGAGCCCCTAAGTACCCCCACCCCTGAGCCCGACCTCCCACAGGTTCCTTCTTCGGGGCCCAAGCTCCCACAGGCTCCCATCTCGGAACCCAAGCTCCCTGATGCCCCTCCAGTGATAGATTTGGAGGGGGACTTACCATCTCAGGAGCCTAAGGTGGCGGCAGAGCCGGTCGCCGAGCCCACCGGGGTTGTTGCCGAAGTTCCTAATCCCGCAGAGGCTGCTGCTGAGGCTTCCGAAGAATCGGCTCATCATGCTGCTGAGACGACGGTGTCCAGCTCGGGGAGCCAGGAGGAGGAGGAAAGCATCATGATCCCCCAGTGTAGCCTTGAAAAAAGTAAAAGGGTTGTCTACCTTGCAGAGGCTACAGACTGGGCCAACCTCACCCCTAGTCAGCTCGGGGCTCGTGCTGCAACCCACGCTATGGTGGTGAGTTCACACTCTAAGAATCATCATTTTCCCATTCTTTCGTTCTTCTCTTTGGTACTGACCGACCTCCTTTTGTCAGGTGAACACCGCCGTGCACTCGTTGACCCTTCAGTCTGACAGACATCTGAGGCGGGCTTTGGCTGCTAAGGAGTCATCTCGCGCAGCTCATACTGATCTGAGGGCAGCTCGGTGTAAGATCCATCAGTTGGAAGGTGACACTGCAGCTTAGAAGAGCTTCATTGAAGTTCTGTTGTCAGAGAAAGGGGAGCTAGCCCGCGAGAGGGACAGGCTGAAGGCTGAGGTGAACGGGCTCAGAGTAGGCCAGGAGGCCTTAAAGCTCGAGGTGGAGAGCCTCAAGGCGGGTCAGGAGGCTTCGCGGCTCGAGGTGCAGGAACTTAAGAAAGCCAAGGGGGCCCTGGAGCACGAGGTGGAGTATCTCAAGGCTGATATCAAGGAGAAGACCGAGATCTTCGATCAAACTCTCGTGGAGACGAAGGTCCAGGCCGTCATTGACTACGTCAAATCATCTAGGTTTGACGATGTGATGTCGCAGGTCTAACGTAGGGGGTTTAAGCTCAGCAGGTGGTTGATAAGGCATACATACCCCGACCTCGACACAAGTGCCATCACCACCTAGAGGATCACAGACGACATGGCCCGCCGGGCCATGGATGATCCAAACTCCGAGGAGGAGGGCGGCGATGAGGAGGCTGGTGCTACCGACCTGGCTGACACCCCCGAAGAGGCTCCGAGTGAAGTTAACAAGCCTTCGAAGTAGTTGTGTGCTCCTTGTACTCTAGGCCTGCGAGCTCAGTTTTACTTTCTCTTTTTCTTGATCCTTTGTACTGAGGTTCTTGTAATGGAAGCACATATTATGTAATGAAAGTACATATTTTGTTAAGTACTTGTGTAATTCTCTTTTGCCGAAGTGTTTGTCTTATCCCGAGCTATCGAGCTAGCGAATTTAGTTCTTGAGGTGGGCGTCCCTTTACCGCTGTCACCCCGAACTGTTTCCCTGTACTTAGTAGGGGTGACCATAAGATTTTACAACATACGCCAAGGGGGACATAGTAAGGCGTGTGCCCGACCTATCTACTTGGCTACTTAGGTTGGCGTTTACCCCTACCAACGTATACCGAGGTAGGCTAAGCGTTAGGGAGTTCGTACCCGAGACGCCTTTTGTCCTTGGCATACTAAGCCTATGTTGGCGAGACGGTTGTCATGCATAGCGCCGAGGTCTTCGGTTAGCTCGGCAAGTTAGCCCTTAGGCTAGAGGGAGCGACTCGTGGT